TAATCTCTATATATAAAATATCGTTTATCGGCCTTTTGGCTAAGATCATGTAGTATATCTCTAGATCTTTTATTTATGTATATCTTTTTAAAAATCTATTCAGTAGAGAGTGGATATGTTTGCTCGAAAAATAAATTCATATATTATATAAATATATGACGTAACGATGTTATTATCATTATTATCATAATATTCTGTGTGTTCCAGAATATTATTATCAATAATATTCGTTAGGCAAACTTTCACTCGGATAAAACCCGGGTGAAGCCGGGTACACATCCGCTAGTCTATCTTTTATATATAAAATTGAATGTCTGTCTGTCTGTACTCTATAGATTCAAAAACCATACATCCAATCGCCGTGATATTTTGGGATATTATTAGGTATATCCCTGGGAAGGTTTCTGAAAAATATTTTCTTGAATATCTTTAATCTCCTTAGAGTTATTTGCAGATTTGTAGATTTAATTCGCAAGCAGCGCCACCATTGCGACGATGATAACAAGTTTTTTTATCTATAAATTTTATTATCTCTAAGTTTATTATCTTAAAGATTATTTATCAAAAGTAAGGTTATCTCAGGATGACACTGCAATTTATTTGAGACAAGAATAATGATACAATTCCAAGGCGAAGATACTATTCCTTTAACTTCAAATTACCGAGGGAACCAATTAATATTGATTTTATTCAACTTATCGAGTATTTTTCAAGGGGCCGGGAAAAATGTTCACTAGATAAAACGATGATTTTGTAAGGTAGAAATTAGGAAAGACAAAATTCAGGATGACACGGCACACAGGGACCGGGAAATTTTTTTCACTTCATCGAGAGATTCAAATTTACGAGTTTCAAATTATCAAAATTTTTTTTATAAGTTTATAGAGAATTGTTTTAACAAATGTTCGTTAGACAAACCTTAACTCGGGTAAAACCCCGGGCGAAGCCGGGTACATCCGTCAGTCTATCTATTTATATATAAAATTGAATGTCTGTCTGTCTGTACTCTATAGATTCAAAAACCATACATCCAATCGCCGTGAAATTTTGGGATATTTATAGGTATATCCCCAGGAAGGTTTTTAAAAAAAATAATTTCATGAATATCTTGAATATCTTTAGAGTTATTTGCAGATTTGTAGATTTAACTCGCAAGCAGCGCCCCCATTGCGACGATGAAAACAGTTTTTTTTATCTATAAGTTTTATTATCACTAAGTTTGTTATCTTAAAGATTATTTATCAAAAGTAAGATTTTCTACTTATTAATTGCGTACAAGTCAAAGTTAGTTTTATCATTTATCTACAACATATTGTTACATCATGATTAATGGCGTATTTCTTATATTATTTTTAATATATTTGAAATTTAAAATTATATATTTATTTATTTTTATATAAAATATTCTATGATATTTATTTAAAACAGATTAGATTATCATCATTTGTATTTAGGTACACGTGTGACTTCACTGCTCTCTTTGATGTGAGAAAATAATGGATCATTCTGAAGGTTACTTAAAGTAGACTTATCTCATTATTCCCTTATATAAATTTGTAGGATGGTTGAAACACGCTCTGGTAAGATGCAAGACCAGCACAGGAGAGAATCATGGCTGAAGAGTCTGCCAAGCCGCAACCTGGTGCAACAATTGGTAGAGATGCTAGTTCCGACCCAGTTGTCCTGAATCCCAACATCGACATCCCCAAGTATGATGGAACGGAAGACCCTCGCCCATGGATTGAATCTCTTGAAGAAATTGGCTTCCTGTACCATTGGGCAGACTACATTATCTCTCGTTATGCCGCCATGAACATGACGGGAAGCGCTAAAACCTGGTTGAATTTACACAAAGCTAGTTTCACGAGCTGGGAAAATATTAAAATCCGCCTCATTCAGGATTTTTCTTTGGACGCGAATAAAGAAGAACTTAGAATGAAGCTCAACAGAATGCAACACTGGAATGAACCAGCAATCAGGTTCGCGGAAGACATTCTAGTGTTGTGCAACAAGGTTGACCCCGCAATGGAAGAAGAAACAAAAATTGAACATGTTATTGGAGGACTGAAAAAAGAGTACTCATTCACGCTCTACCTGAACCCTCCTAAAACGACCGATGACCTTCTTGTCGTGTGCAAGAAAATGGATTCTTTTGAAAAGAAGTATCGGGAACGTGTGGAGAAATCCAGAAACCTATATAACGGTCCACGCTATTCTAGACCCCAACAACAATCGAGGTACGTGCCGCCGACTGCCGCACGAAACTACCAGCCCACTTCCAGGCCCCAAGCCCCTGTTTCAATAATTACAAGAACGACTCCCCCCCTACTCCCAGGCAGTATCGAAACAACTTTCCCCAGCCCTCTACCCCTAGACGTCCTTATAATCTTAACTTTGTGCCAAAACCAAACCTTCAGAGAAACACCTACAATAAAAGCCAAGAAGTGAGCAAAAATAGGACGGAAGATGGAAGACCAATCTGCTTTAAATGTAACAAGCCAGGGCACGTGGCCCGTTATTGTAGGGTCAAGTTTATAAGAATCTTAGAAGAGGATCAGCAGATACCCAAGAGAAGGTCGAAGAGAAATGCCAAATGAATGAAATATCAGAGAAATCAGGACCTCGGCTTTATGCCGATGTATGTCATAACACACAGACAAATATTCCTACCCGGAATAGATATTCCGCGTTGGAAGATTTAAACTAAGCGTCGCGCCTGAATCTGTCAATCAAAGCAAGTCGACCATAAACGGAATCAAGAAGTTGGACCCTAAATACAAATTAAAAATTAACGTGGACAATATAGGGACTTTTGAAGCTTTGGTTGATACAGGTGCTGACCTCTCAGTGGTCGACCTCAGAACGGCCCTCGATACAGGCCATGGTATAAGTAAACTCGCAAAAATTTGTGCAGGACCCGATGGAAAAAAATTGGACATGGTAGGAAGTATATTTTTAAATATAAAAATTGATGACGAAACATTATCACACAACTTTGTGATATTGAAAACGCATTTACGGACATTAATTCTCGGGAGAGATTTCCTTAAGAAAATGAACGCAAAAATAGATTGTAGGCAAGAAACTATCAAATACGATTTGACGAATAATCATGACGAAATCAATTTTGAAATGTTGAAAATAAAGAGTGCCAAGGATTCCATTGTACCGGAATGTTCCATGAAATTGATCAAGGCATTGGTAGAAACAGAGGATGGAGAATATATTATCGAGGAGAGCAGCAAAATGTTTCAAACAAATGGACTTCGTCTAGCAAGAAGCTTGATCAATGTTATAAATAGGGAAACACACATCTGGATAAC